TCTTTTTTCCTAGAAGGATTTTAGCTGTTTGTTAACTCGTTTTTGCAAATTTTACTGTTTTTTCTTAGTTCTAAATTTGGAACAGAGGATCAGCGGAAAGAGTGATGAAAAATGATTGTATCTTATTACATAATATGATTCGCAAAATTTATAATATAATAATATTTATTTATATGCTTTGATTTTTGAAATTGTGATCACTTTTGATCCACTGATCTATTTTGAATAATTTAATTATCAAAATGTTGGTCTCGATAAGACAATTCTAACAAGCTCAAAATCATTAAAATTCAATCATAGAATTATAAAATAATCCAACATTTATATAATTTTAATAGTAATTTTTAAAATTACTAAGTAACTTTCTACAACATTAAATAACTTCTGATCTACAAATCTATTTTAAATGATTTAACTACTAAAATGTTTGTCTCAGTGAGATAATTCTAACAAGCCTAAAATAATTAAAATCTAATTATAGGATCTTGAGATTATTAAAGATCAATATCATATAAACAATCATTTAATAAAATTGGTTTTTATATGGAGTCTTTGCAATGGAAAGAGCTAATACTGCCAAAAAATGAAAATTGAATTTTTGTTATATTTGGATAAATTTTGATATAGGCTATATTTTTCAATTATAAATAAAAATTGATTTGCATAATAAAAAATTGAGTTATTTTAAAATAATTTCTTGGGAATTTTGTAAATCACAAGATTACCTAATATAACTGGCCAATCAAATCATGAAATTTTTGATTAACTTAGATCAGTCTGAACAAAACAAATACAATTTTCTCAAAATTGTATATAAATCAATATGGGCCCTTTCTACTGCAAAAACTCTATATATAAAAACTAATTTCATTAAGTAATTGTCTACATAACACTGATCTTTAATGATCTTAAGATCCTGCAATTAGATTTTAATGATTTTAGGCTTATTGGAATTATCTTACTAAGACAAACATTTTGGTAGTTAAATTATTTCAAACAGATCTGTAGATTAGAAGTATTTAATATTATAAAAAGTTATTTAGTAATTTTAAAATTTACTATTAAAATTATATAAATGTTAGATTATCTTGTAATCCCATAATTAGATTTTAATGATTTTAGGCTTATTAGAATCATTTTATTAAAACCAACATTTTGATAATTAAATTATTCAAAATGAACTAGTGGATCAAATATTATTGCAATTTTAAAAATTGGAGCATATGCAATGAATAATTAGTAAAGATATTTGAAAATTTTAGATTTTTCAGTAATAACTTAAGGTCTGTGTCTAGAACACTATTATGTGATGTTGAATTATTATATTTTCATTTTCACTTTGGGCAAAAATGCTTTTGTATTAAATTTTTTTTTAAAGTTTTTTTTTAATTTTTAAGGATTAAAAATGAGAATTTTCAAATTAATGTTAGTTGAAAAAGAATTGTATATATCCAGAAGATTGCAGAGTGTTTTTTGCTCTCAAAAGTACAAAATTGTAGTTTTTTGTATAAGGCCATTATTACTTTAGTCAAATTGAGAGTAAGTGCATATATTTAATATATGTATACTTATTTTGATATAAAACTTTTTTTTTTTAATAGATTCTTATAGACCGAAATTTGATATTTATGCCTCTTTATATAGACTATCAAGATCAACTTCTCCTTCTCAACCAATAAAACTAACATTGAATATAACTGTATCACTGCAAAGCAAAAAGAAAAAAATGCCAATTAAAAATAAATCCAAAAAAAAAATAATAATTTTTGATGATGATAATAGTAATACTTCAACTTATTATTTATTATATGCAATTAAATATACAGCTTATTCTATATTTACTTTAGATAGCGCAGGATTAAGAGTGGATATACCTTTGGCAATACTAATTATTTTTGTTTTGAGGTTTTATTATCAGTTATTTTTTCAGAAATTTTACAACGTATTTTGTCATTAGGGCTGGTTAAAAAAATAGCAAAATTTGGTATTTTTTAAAAAAAATTTGAAGAAAAGTTGAAACCATTTATGTTAATGAGACATGTTCATTGTGCACGCCTTAAAATTAATATGTAGTGGATTTCGACTTTATAAAAAGATAAAGGGTTCTGAATACACTTGCTGTGTAATTGTGATAAAAGCTGATTGTCGATTTATTTGATTTGCAGTAAACTGACAAAAAAAAAAAATTATTGATAATATATGGCATTGCTTAATTCGGAAATACATTATGATACGTATACAAATGTAGTAAGAATCATCCGAGCAATTGATTCAATTGAACGAATGTCGTCCTACAACCTCTAACCACATAAACTAACGAATTCGAAAAGATTGTCCACCCTCTAGTGAATTTTATGTTAATTGACTGATCTTGGTCTGTAATCTCAAATAAATGCTCCATTACCTATTTCAATATCAAATTCTTTAATAATATTTCCCAATACGAATTTTACAAAGACCATCATAATTTTAATCATTTATTTTAAATTGAAATACTTGTTTTTTTTTAAGCAAAAAATGAAAATCAATTTCTAAAAATAGAGGCATGTTACATTTGGTAATTATTAGCAACTGACTAGTTAAACGAACTGGTGGTTCGAAACTAAAATAGTCAAGTTTGACTAGTTTAACATCCCTATGAAGAACTACGTATAAAATTTTATCGTGATAAAATTTTATCGTAGCTTGAATGTGATAAATTATACCTCATAATACTGACGCTTGTAAGTCACATATTGTAAAATAATACTATACAGTATATGTAGAAAGCAGTGTTGGCCGATGACATAAAAAAACATACAATTTTTTTTAAGAACATTAATATTTGAAATGATGTTCTCGCGAATCGAGAGCGTAGTGGTTACGCTCCCAAAGTGGTTTAAAAATATTTTTTAGGATCGTGTTGATTATTATATTGAACAATTCGGCTATGGATTTGGCACGGGCACGTGATGACTGAAAAACTACTTCGTGTCAATATATATTTCTTTATACAAGTACAATGTATATCCCAGTTCATATGGTGTGAACTTAATGAAAGAAAGATGGAAACGAGGCCTCCTGTTTATTAAAATAAATGCTTCACTTTTATACATTTTGATCAATATGAAAAAGAACACATCAGAGGCTTCACACTATTGTGTTAGTTCATGTCAATATGCACACTGCCTCATGCGGGGCTTTAACAATCATGATACTAATTTAGTTAACAATTATAGTTTACCATTTCGCGTTTTATTTTTGGTGCTGATTTGTAATTAATTATAGGGTTAGGTTAATGGAGAATAAGCACAGTACCCTCTACCCTACTTTTTTCAATTTCAGATTAGCGGAAATAGCAATAAAATCTTTAATCAAGTTATTCCCATTAATCTGGAATTGAAAAAAAGCTGAGTAGAGGGTGCTGTGCTTATTTTCCATATTTTACGGTATTTAGTGGCGTTTGAATATGTTATGCGACGATTTAAAATATTGCGCGCAACGATTTTGGATATGTAGTGATTTTTTTTACTTAATTAAAAAATAAAACAACTTTTAATATAGTTTATTATATTGTACGTAATTCGTATCATGTGATTAATGACTGCAGATGCACCAAATTATAAAACTCTATAATATATACGTCGACGAGGTTGACTTAACTCCGTCAAATATACTAGTGTTATTTAGAGGGATATATTGTCGAGTAATATGTTTGATTATTTCTTGAGACACTAAACCACCAAGTAACGCAGCCATATTCGCTAATTCAGATCCTCCAGCGCGACATCTAAAAAAAAGGATATTATATGTGTTAAATATAATTAATGCAGAAACGGCTAAAAAGATAATAACAATGATATAGTACATTTCATGGATATAATCATCCAGATGATCTGGGATATTTGTGATCTGCCATTCTGATAACAAAATGTTAACGTAAGTTTTTAATAACTCGAACTCGGACTTTGACTCTTCAGTAGCTTCTTCAGAGTCTCCTTCAATGAAGAAAGTGGCCGCATCTAAAATAATAATTTGATCCATCTTTAAATTATAATGTTATTAAGATTGTCTCAAAGGTTGAAATTAAATATTATACCAGGATAACGGTTATTAGCTTCATAAAACCTATCTATTGCTCGAATAAGAATGTAATGAACGATATTATCTTGTGGGTCTTGCAACCATCTGTCTATGATTAATTTAACAATCAGATTATTAAAAATTGTTGTACAGAATGTTTTTAGAACACATTTTCTTTCTGCTTTTTTTTTTTGAGTGTTATACTCACCAATATCAGCTTTTTTTGGATCACTTATATATTCTTCTTTCAGTGACCTATATCGAATTACCTGAATGAAAGCTGCATGCTTGCAAAAACTATCAACTTCGTCATCATGAATGAAATCACTTGATCTTCCGATAGAATTCAAAATCTTATTAACATGCGAACGAACTATAGCGATATCTGCTTTAGCCTTTTGACGATAACTGAAGAATAATATATGGATGATAAAAATAATGTAAAAAATATAAACGCAGTTAAATGATAAAAAGTTATTTGTTGCATACATGGTTTGCAATGAGACATATCGAGAAGTATCGGCTTTCATATCAGGAACACTTCCAGCCAAAGGCAATAACCCTTGACCTTCATTCGCAACGAAATCACGGACAGCACGTGCAAGAATCCAGAAACTAGAAGACTATTGAGAAAATTATATTATTACAGACCCTGATAAATGAATCCTTAAATATTTTTTAAAATAAATATAATTAATTCTTCATGCATACATTTGCATTTATAGTTTCACATGCTGGATCATTAAATATTTCTTGAACTTGATGCGATACTTTAGTAGCAGTAAAAGCTCTCCATGCGTTAGCCAACGCTTCAGCAAAGTTTTCTTCATCGGCATTCCGCCTACAGCCTTCGATAAGTTGTTTGAATTGTTTCTTTTCTGCAGAAGTACTTGGCAACTGGCCATTATGCTTTGATTCAAGATAATATAGTAAGAGTTTTATGAATGTTTACGATTTCAAATCCAAAGTTTATGTAAATTGTCAATATTTACATCTTTTTTCCATTGATCCAAATATTTCAGCAAAATTACTACATAAGGAATGTGCCCATGATCCATATTGTCCATAGAATCAAAGTCAGAGGTTTTAGCATATTGTTCCAGGGCTGAAAAAGGCACATCAAGCCGAAGATCAATAATACTATCCGGATGTGTCTCTACGACTATAAAAGTAATTTAATAATTAAGGCATGAAATAATAATAATAATAATAATAATAATAAGGCATTCATAATATTATAGTTCATTACCAGTATGTTCCGGATACACAACACGTAGATATCCAATAAATCCAATAGTACGTACAATAAAAAGTGGGATATTAGCGTTCCATAAAGCCTCTGATAATTTTAGAAGTGGTTTTTCTGGAATATCAGTGGCTATCACAACTGTGAATTGTAAGAAATAATCTAGCCTATTCTCGATAAGAGAAATAGGATCCTATCATAAAAATATATCAATTAATTGATTAATAGGTCACATGCATATCAATGTAATTATATTATATTAAAAAGATTAAAAGATTAAAAGATTAACCTCTGCAAGATAAAATCCTTTCACATCTTCATTTAATTCTTGTAATAATTCTGTAACAGCCTGAGCTCTGTTTGTACCAATTCTATTCTCGTCCAAGAAAAAAGAAGTTCCAGCGTCAGCGCCATCAACTTCTTTTTTGTCGACCACAGTAAAAGATCCGATACCTGTAATTATTGAGTAATCCAGTGATCAATTTATTTATTTTTTAGACAAATCGACAATATCGACAGTTACACTTAAACTATAAGTAAAAAAAACTTACCAGGTAAGACTAGATCCTTAAGGATCTCGCATCCTGTTGCAGTTCCATTAATAAGACACACCTTTGAGTTTTCTAATGCAGCTTGTCCACTTGCTTGCCACAAGCTATTTGTAACAATAAATTAGCCAACGAATAAATCTTAGATCTATTAATATGAAGCTTTATATAAATAGCGTTAAAATATGTTTACCGAAGCTGGCGATCGTATTTTTGAGTTTTTTTATCGATATTCATTCTGTAAAGATTAAAGTTTCGGTTTAGGTATCCGAGTTTATTTTACGAGTTTGCATTTTGTGATCATCCAATCAAAATTTCTTCAAATTCGCGATGTGAAATCTGAGATGCGGATTTCAAAATAACCCAATAAAATATACCCTGGATGAAAATCCTTTGATAAGCACGAAAGCACACACTATTTCTAGCGATATTTTTGTTTCGTGTTTAAAAGAATTAATACTGATACTTTACGGATAATTTTATTCATACTGTTACGAATACACTTCTGATCGGCTGATCCGAATCAATTACGTTTCATCATTTGAAAAAAATAAAATTTTCTTTTATGCAAAATAATCTCATTTAGAAGCAAAAATAACTAGGTGTATTATAGTACTATATTTTGATTAATCACAATTTTTTTTTTACCCTTTCAATGATGCACGTGATAATTAACAAAGTATAGCGATAGATATGAATTCATCATTTTACGATCGACAAAAGATAATACTAAAATATTTCAAGCACATTTAGTTGTCTTGAGAATTAGGTCTTTATGTTTTTTGCAACGAATTAGCAAGCACTAGCAGGTATATATTAAAGATTTAATTTGCATTTTTAAATGCCGATATTCTTGGCTTAAAGACATTTTTCGCAATAACGGTTCTAAATTACGTATAATAATATTTTTGCAAAAAAATATACCAAATCTTAGTTTGAATTTTTTACAAATGCTAAAGTTTTTTTGGGTCCCGTACGTACGGGTCAACCTGTAATACCATATTACGTTAATCTGCAGATCACACTTAAAAAAAAATACGATTTTTGATTTATAAAACAGCATTGTTCTTTGTACGCGACTTTCGGGCCCGGCGTTTAAAATATTTTTTCTTGGAAACTACTTCACATGAGTTGAATATAGAAAATCAACTTTTTTTTACGGGTTTTCAATAAAAAAAAAATAAAACATGTTTATTTTTCTAATTCGATGATTATTTAAAAGGACCCATAAGGTAATTATAACTTTGTGAATTTCTGTTTAACCGTTGTGTATACCTAATACATTATATCCAGTGTTGGCTTGACCAGACCGGTTTGACCAATTTGACCGTTCTGGTCAAATTGGTATTAAATATAATTTATTATATAATATATATATTATATTCATATAGTAGATTTGGCCAATTTTACCAGGTCGACCACTAATTTGCCCAACACTGATTATATCATGTCCACTAGTTTTTCTCGTCCCGTCCGAGGAAACTCGTCTACCTGTATGAAGTGTACTTCGAATTTTTCCTTGCGAAAAACGGTCTCTTCGGCATTATATTTCTTTGATCACGGATAATTATGAACACACCGAAAGGGATAAAGCACATCATGCGTTCTACAGTGCTTTACCGTACCATTCTGAAATTAAGCACCACCAAATTTTGTATAATATCCGAAAATAAGCACCCCCTAAGTATGCTCATATCAGATTTTTTTACTAAGCAAATCTACTATCTGTTTCTAAGTAAAGGTATTCCCCAGGTCAAGACGATTCTAATGGTGGCAAAATTATCAAACTCGGTTCAGTAGAACTTTTACAATTATTCTTCAAATTTTAGGCGACATTTACTTACATGACTGTAGATTATGTAAGAAAATGCAAACAAACGTCGATTGAATTTTGAAGAGCAATTACTAAAGTTATACTGGATCAATTTTGGCGATTTTACCACCGTTAGAATCGTCTTAACCTGGAGAATAACTTTACTTAGAATTAGTAGTAAGATTTACTTGGCACAAAATCCGTATTATTAATTTTTAAAATTATATCCGAAAATAAGCACCACTTATAACAAAAAAAGGGTGCTTAATTTCGGAATTGTACGGTATTTAAGATCATTAATAATCCACATACATCGCAAGAGATTCGTAATATGGTCCAAAACTATAGCTAGAAAACCCGGATAAAAATAAGGAAAACAAGGAACATACGAACATCGTAAACAATAAAAAAAGAAAAAGGTAAGCGTAGTATAGATAATAGATGGGGCTTTAGCCAGGTTCTTGTATCTTATTGGGTTCGTTCTAATTCAGGGTTGGCTGTCAGTTCAAAGAAAGACAAAAGCAAAAGTCTACTAAGGGAAAGGGAAACGAAGTCGTAGCAAAAAGATCCGAAGGTAATGAAAGATATGCGGAAAGGTCTGAAGATATTGGATATGATAGGTGTGGGTCAGTGTTGGGCAAATTAGTGGTCAACCAAAAATTTACTGGTCAAATTGGTCTGGTCAAATGGTCGAACTGGTCAAATTGGTCAAATTAATTATAAATATAATATATATATTATATAATATTATATAATATTAAAATATACTATTTGACCAATTTGACCAGTACAGATCCTTTGACCAGACCGGTCAAATTGGTCTGGTTCAATAGTTAAACTGGTCTGGTCAAGCCAACATTGGTGTGGGTAAACTTATGAGAGGTAAAAAGATATCGGTGTTACCATCGTCTTCGTCATCGTCCCCATCAGGAAAGAAACGGAGTACTTGAAGACTTATCAGATTCTTTGCCAAAGAAAAGACAACGTAAACGAACGCATAAGAAACTCCAACTTATAGCTAAAGCTCACTAAAGTCCTAATCCTAAACTTCTATAACTTATACGACACTTTTTTAAAAATAATCTTTCACAATATTTCCAATTACACGAAGAAAAGCCTCGACCTCTTCCATGGGCTCGCTCCAACCCTATAAGAAATTTTATCCGAATAACTCCATTATTTTTCCATATTTATTGTGAAAATTCCGTGAATTTGCAACATGATCGACAAAATTTAGACAAGCTGAATAATCTCCATGATTTAAGGTTATAATTTCCGTGAATATGCAACATTTATGGAAAAAACATGGAATATAAAACACGGATCGACATTTTTTATAGGGCAAAACGTAAAGCAGAAGTAGACTAAAGACCAAATAAAAAAATTATTAACTATCCGTCCAAGAAGGAAACCCCAAATAAAAAAATTATTAACTCTCCGTCCAAGAAGGAACCCCAAACAGAAGTAAGCGAAGATACTGGACACAACTGTAAGTTTAAGAGTATTTTAAAACGCGTTATAATAGGGGTTTCAGACTTAAGGTTTAATTCCAGATATGAATTCCTTTTTTCCTGACAATAGTTCAGCAATAAGTTCTCTTGAAGTGGTAAAATCTGCTGTTCGAAATACTATTGCACAAGGATCTTCTCGCTCTTATAAAAGCTCTAATTGTACGTGGTATTTGGGTGGTAGTATCTGGTACGATACTCCAGTCATCGTATATAATAGCCAAGCGAGTAGAGACTCATAGTAAAGCCAAGAAGTACACGGTAGTTTGGGTAAACTCCGTGACACTAATCATTTGCGGAGTGCAATGTGCATGTCCCTAGAGAGAGCGTGTATGATGCAGAGATGTACCGGGTCCTGCATAATTGGCTTGCAAAGGTATATGATTTTGAAATTGCCGGACAATGGCACCTAGGAAAAATTTGTGATGATGGTGGTTATCATCACTAGATAAGATATTTGATTATTAATTCCGAAACCTTCAATCACCATGATTTTTTATTTTTATAAGAATAACTGAAATCGAATAAGACTTTTATTTATTATCAAAAGTCTACGGGGACGGGGAACGTTATTGGAGCATATAATGTTAGAAATTGACATGATAAGGGTGTTATAATTAGCACTTTTATTATGACCTTACTATCAAAAAAAGGGATGACTCCTTTCCTGTTGCTGTTCTTGAATTATTGGCAACAGCATCCTTATCAAAATTGGATGAGCATTTCGAACGAATTTTTGATTATGCCGATCAACTTAAACCTTCGGAAGTTTGGATTATTCATTTTTCTCGGGAGGATGATATTGTCAAGAACCTTTAGAGGGAACTTAACGTCATACGTGTATAAGGGGGCATCCATAAACAACATTATCTACCCCTCATAAGACCTCATGATTCACCCATATTCTTTTATCAATAATCCTAACCTAAAATCCTAACAAAACTATAAAAAAAAAAACACCCAAATATAACGTAATTACTGCGCCGTGTAATATATGTAGGTCATGTTTTTACCGTCTTGCTGATTCTAAAAAACTATATAATAACACTCCGCTTCATTTTTTTTTAACTATTCTTCACCATGACTAAAAATTCACTTGCTCAGTGGTTGAAATCGGGCATAATCAAAGATAACATGAAAGACACACTTAAATCAACACTCGACGCCTTGCACAACCCCCCCTAGAAATAGAGTTATCCATATCTAATCTGCATAAGACCCGATACCCCCCCATATATAAAATATAAATTTGTTCTTTCCGCACATATAATATACTTTACAGAAACCTATGTTTTTTTCTAAATATGTTTAAAATATAGATAAAATTTATGTTATCTTAATAATATCTAACTTGTTATCATATTTTTAACAGCTAATAAAAATTTTTTTAAACGAAAATTTACAAATTTAATGATAATTATTTATCAATTGAGGTTATGCTTAAAATTTAAAATAGACAAATTATATGTAAAATTGGACAGAGAATATTTTTTGTTAGTAAACAAAAAATAGTTTCATAATAAAAATTTGTAGTTATAACTGAATTTTTAAAAATCTTAATTATTTTGATTTTTTTTATATTAAATATAATTCTATATTTAATAAATAAATTGTATAACAAATAACTATTATTTATAATAACAAATAAATTTTCTATTATCATTATTTATTTAAATATTATAATTATTTGTTATTTATTAAAAAATATGTTTATTATATATTTAAAATATTTTAATTGTATTAATTTTTTTTGTATTATAATTTTAAATATATTTTAAAAACATTATTATAACTTGGATATTGTTAAGATAGCAGAAAAAATATAATATAATTATAATATATTTGATATATGGGATCTTTGCCTTGAAAATCAAGTATGGGACATATGATTTACTATATTCCGTAACTCGATTTTC